CATGCACCATATTGCAAATAATACAACTTGACTTTAATTACAGCACACAGCAGTGTGCACACTTGCTAAAGTTTGAGAATTAACCTCCCATGACAACAATGCTACAACAAAGTGGAAGCGGTGTTAACACAATTTTGTTTTCTGCAATTGCCAGTAACACATAAATTTATCTTTAAAAACATTTTACAACAATTTCTTGTTGCAATAGACATTACAGCAAAGGAAACATTCAAAATAATTAATACACATTATAACAATGTGTAATAATAAGCCATACAGCTGTATTACATTTACTTTTTGGATACACTGCAATAGATCAAAATTGTAAGTAATACACTGGGGACTGTGTCCTAACTCATAAATCATTTCTTTATTCTTACACTAATAATTGCAAATATTAACACTGTAAACACAGATTTATTTGCAAGTTGTTGCAATGTTGTTAGAATGCCACACAGTAACTGTTGAAAACACTTTGGTAACATTTGTAAATGAAACTTTTCAATTCACTTGCATTACATGCAACCAATGTTACACACTGTTATCACAATGTTGCAACACTTTTGTGATATGACCATGTAGCACTGCATGAGAAAACTTGTGAAGTCTTTTATAATGCATCAGACTATACACAATTGATGCATTCATGCACCATATTGCAAATAATACAACTTGACTTTAATTACAGCACACAACAGTGTGCACACTTGCAATATTTTGAGAATTTACCTCCCATTTATGACAAGAATGTTACAACACTGTGGAAACAGTGTTAAAACATTGTGGTTTATGAAAACAGTTTTATAACACTGTTGAAGCAGTGTTGAACAATGTTGGTATAAAAAACAGATTCTTCATATATTTAATTGGAGTACACTGCTATTATTGCATCCATCACTTTCACCCCCTTATTTATTTTTGCATAAGAACTGCATTTTTCCAGAGTTTAAATATGATGCTCAAATCAGCCCGCCAATCCAATTATAGGATGAATAAATTAGAATAACAATAAGAGTTATTGCTGGTCTGCTTACTAATGAAATTACAATAGCTTTTAAAAGCATCACAGAAAAACATTTTTTACAGGGTAAAATACGCTTTTAAAAGAGTAATAAGTTGACTCTTTCAAAAGCATCAAAGAAAAACGTTTTTGACAGGGTAAGAAACGCTTTTGAAAGTGTCAGACTGTGACGCTTTCAAAAGCGTTGCAGGAAAACGTTTTTAACAGGGTAAGAAATGATATTGAAAGTGTCAGCCTCTGATGCTTTCAAAAGCGTCACGGAAAAACGTTTTTGACTAGGTTAAAAACTCTTTTAAAAGCGCCAGACTCTGACGCTTTCAAAAGCATATAATAAAAACGTTTTTTACCCCATCCTGACCGCGTCAGGAAAACAGATCCCTCGCATCCAAAACCGTTTGACTGCCATCTGAAGCAGCCACATTACGCGTAAAAATAGCCACTATCTCAGGCGGCAATCTGAAATTTTTGCTGGGTAGTTCCGCTCTGTTTTCTAAAATCAGAGCACACTGAACCTGAACAATAGAATCATAGATTTAAGCCATTTCTTCTGGTTCTTCATCATCTTCACTGTCACTGTCCTGAGGTCTTCTCCTCTTCTTCCAATGCAACTGTTGATTTTCTTAAACCTTTCAACTTCTTTGTTCACAAGCAGCAAAGCAGCTTGCTCTTTTCCAGACAGGTCTATAGGTTCACCATCTCTGTAAGTAAATTTTTAAAATTGAATTATAAAAATTGAACAATATTTTCAGGATACATTTTATTAGAATACTAACTTTTTTGCAGCTTTTTTTCAGCTAATTTCTGTAAGAATTGAGTCCTTTTCTTGAGATGCTTGAAGGCTTCCATCTCCTTCTTGTTACGATTCATTCTTGAAACCATTTTGTCATCCATTTCTGGACTAAAAACCAAACAATTTTAATTTCAAATTAATAATTTAAAAAAACTTACATTTTTGTTTCCTTCAGCTCAGTCAAGGTGGGTACATTGGCAGATCCTTTCAACCTGAACAAAGCCGGGTCTCTCCTATTACTTGGGAATTTCTTCAGCTTACCATGAAGCCACTTCTTGTATTGATCCACCATGTACAGCCTAACAAAGGGTTCCATGGGGAAAGTTACATTGCTCGCTGTCCTGAAAGTATTCATAACAAATAAAAATTAATAAATAAGAAATTAGAAATGAATTACACTATAAAAACTTACAGGCAATTGCAGGTTACTCTGATACCGTAGTCAACCCACAGTTTCAGTGCACAGTTCATGGATACATTCACATTAAAACCAACATTGAATCCACCATGATAGCCTATGGGAAGAGCAACAATCAAATCCCAAGGCTCTTGGATTGCAATGTTCAGTCCAATGTCAAATGTACTGAACCATTTTTTGTCCATTGAGAGATGTTTATGGCGTCCAATTTCTGAACAGACACCATCCCCCAACTGGATCCGGAGATGACTCTCCAGGAGTGTAACATCCTCTCCAGTAAAAGTTTACCTAAAAAATTAAAAATAAATATATTTAAAAAAAAATTCTGAATAAAAAAGGCAAATACTTTGAAAGCAGATAATCTTTAAATTAGGTATTTTATTATAGCCTGCTTTAATTGAAATGCTTTCATAAAGCGATTGAAGATTTTTTTAATTAGTTCTTATAAGGATTTTTAAAGTTATTAAAATACCAATCCATTGTAAATTTTAAAAAGTGAAATAATGCCTAAATCGGTATGCAGGAAATTCAATAGTTAATGGGCTAAATAATGAGGTAAATTTCTTTGAAACTCACCAGATCTTCCTGTATCCACCCATATTCATGTTGACTGAGATGAGGCTAATGTCTTCACAATGCATTGGAAATGCAGAGTAACCTGAACCCAGAAAGTAGAATGGGGTATTAATCCCATTCATGATGAGGGGCTTTTCAACTCCAACATCAATGAAGAGATCTCATTACCTCTCAAGCTTGAGAGGTCAACATTGATATGACCCTGTAGTTAAAGACAAAATTTGAAAATAAATGAATAAAATGTGTTTCGTAATAATTAATGAAAAGTATGAAATTACAATGCATTTTAGCAAATTGAAAGAAAAGGACACTATGCTTGAGCACTACTCACTGAGCAATGATCAAAGAATCTTACAACACATGAGTATTTGATAATTTAATTTAAGAAATTAATATAGATAAATAAAATGCTGACCTCAGGTTTTTGAATAAACGGAATTTTTGTGATGTATGGAACAGGTTGTGTACGGTCTCCATCCAATTTTAGAAAATCTTGAAGACCATTCCAAAAATCCCTGCGATCAGCTGTCCCAAGTAAATCTTCTGATGTACATTCTCCAGAGGAAGTATTCTGAAGTTCTGCAGCTGTTGGAGTAGTTGGAGGATTTCCATCACCCAGCACAGTCAAAGGATGCATCATTCCAATTTCTTTAAGGTGCTTGAAGAACTCAGCAGGAGTCTTTGCAAGCATTTTGGACAAGGCTGGCTCATTGCTGATGCCGTAAATGCCTTCACTGTTAACTTTTTCAATGGATTGATGAATCACAATTTTAAGGGGAACTTAGCAAATTCCAGCCAAAAGTGTATCATCTTCCTCAATCCACGTCACTTTACCAAGCCCTTTTGGATGTAGGGCTTGAATAACTTCCAGTTTCAATTTTAACTTAATAATTCCACATTGCCATAGACCCATTTCAAGAAATTTTTGAAGGATAAATTCTTCAAATGCCTTAAACTCATCAAGCCCAACTTCAAAAGTTGGGCACTACTCAATGTAACTTGAGTTTTGCAACACACATCATGCCAGTGTACTTTTTGAAGCTTGCATCATTGTTTGCCTGTAAAATAATAAATAAGTTCATAATAATAAGAATAATAACACTTTAAAAACCACAATGAAACCCAAAAAAAATCCTAAATAGTAAAAATGCATTTCCCCAAAAAATTATTTTACATGTTTTTAATCATTCAAATCATTCTTTCAATGGTTCCCAGTGATCACAAAAATGTCCATTTTGTGTCCGTTGTTTATCCAAAAGCAACTTGTCCGCAGATCTTGCCAAAAAAGAAAAGTTGCGGACAAGTTGCTTTGAAAAAAACGGACCCAAAACGGACACTTTTTGGAGGGAGAGAGGGGCAAATTTTGGATAAAAAACGGACAAGTTTTGGATGATTTTTGGAGGGGAAAAGGACAAGTTTTGGATGATTTTTGAAAATGGATGATTTTTGGAGGGGGAAAAAATCATCCAATCATCATCCAATTGGATGAAAAATCATCCAAAACTTGTCCTTTTTTCCTCCAAAAATCATCCAAATGGATGATTTTTGGAGGATAAAAGGACAAGTTGAACAGATTTGAACAGAGATTTTAAAGAGAAAGGGTTAAAAAACAGAGGAAATAAAACATGTTGGTCAGCTGGGTAGCCAGCCTGTCCTTGTTAAATAAGGACTGAAGGATCTGAAGTTGACACTATAAGGACATGTGCTCTGTGTTTGTCTGGGCTTGCAACCAGCAGATTATTTGCAGGTGTGGGGAGAGATACTTCTTTCCACCTGCAATGTCTGATAATCTGGCCACATTGAATGAAGAGTGGATAGTTATTGAAGAAATAGACAGAGAACTACAGAAAAAGTGAAAGGCACTTTTTTTTGTGAGGGGGGTTGAGGTCATAATCAGGGATCACTAGCTGGCACTTGGGGATATGCACACACACCCGAATGCTGTGCTGAACTGGCACTGTTCATGCAGTGCAGCTGTGCTGTATGATCTTAGAAAACGGACAAGTTATTTGAACTTGTCCGTATCCGGGAAGGCTAATACGGACAAGTTTGTATAACTTGTCCGTTTTAGCCTTCCCATCTTCAAGAAGGGAAGGCTAAAACAGACGAGTTATACAAACTCCTCCGTTTTAGCCTTCCTAAAACAGAAAAGTTTGTATAACTTGTCCGTCAGAGCACAATTTTTTATCCAAAAGATGTCTGTGAAACTCATTTGGGTGAGTTTTGGACATCTTTTGGATAACTTCTTGCTCACTGGGTGAGTTGTATTCAATCAAAACAGAATTGCAGGAGTTCGTCATTTGGTTACCAATTTATTCTGTGTAAAAACTACGAACAATTTTCAGTTCTTGTTTCTTTGGTTGATTTTTTGAAATTTTAAAAGCGTACAGTACTTCCAATCCGAACGACGACTGCTGGGGTTGAACAGGAGAAGTGAAATCATGTTTTTCACTAGCAAATCCTCGTAGTATTTTTGGAATTATCGAGCGAATTTTTGCAAATACAGTTCAGTACATGAGCATCACGCATTCCAAAAATTAAGTTTGAAAAGATCCTTTTTTGATAGAGATATGATGTATGCTGTGAAAATGTAAGAAATGTTCTCTATAATACTGTGTGTAAGAGAATGTTCCTATGAATTTGTTTTCCATTCCTGAAATATTGCTCAGCCAACCTGTCCTATTTTTGTGAATATACAGCATGAGCATCACACATTCGAATATATTTAAGGTATACAAGAGAGTCCCTGTTTTTAAGAGGATGATGCTGCGATGAGTGATGTAAAAATGAACGAACTGTTCTGCAATACTGTACTGTACTGTGTGATTTAAAAATTTATATAAATTTGTTTTCCGTTGTTCTTGAAATATATATAGCACCGCCAACCTGTCCTTCAACTGCTCTCACTCGTCCTACATCAAACGAAAAGTGCGTGTCCACGGCGACTACGTGGTCATTTTCAACGCCTTCAACTCCCAGAGGTGTCCACCATGTGACAGGGAAGTGACCATCACAACCCATGGTGGACTCGGCTACCTGCGATACGTGCCGATACTAGCGGAAAATTGGCAGGCCGCCATTTCTTTTGCGCTGTACGTGCCGAACGAAGCCGCGTTCCAGATTGCCACGAGCATCATGGCCACGATGCAGACCTGCTCATCGCATGCCAATAATTTCGCTACCGTTCATTTCTACTTCCCCAAGGCAGAGGCCAATGATTCGGCGGTGCTCGAGCGGCGCCTCGAGGTGCTCAAGGAAACGCGAATGGCGGTGGATGAGCAGGAATACACGTGAGCGAGGGGATTTCTTCGGGATGGTTTCGCATTATTTATTTTTCACGGAACAGCAGAACAATGCTTCTTAGATTGTATATCCTCGGAATGACCAAATTGCCTTTTGATCGGCGGAATACATTTTCACGGATGTAATTCCTTGCTGGTCATCTGATTTCACGCGAAATTATTCGCTCGTCAACATATTTCGTGGTGCATCGTTGAAATTTCAAATCACGTATTTAACGAAGAAGCTGAATAACCGATCTAATGGACTTGCTTTTTTGAGTAACTTTTCGTTTAGGATTAGCGAGGCGATGAAAAGAATGTTCCATTGTTCTTGTTCATTTTTATTAGCAGTACATCAGAACATCTGAGTAACTTCCAATAAGGACCTGCAAGATCTTGATTTTTTTTAAATATTACTTTTACGTTGAAATTTCTTCTGGACCGTTCCGAAAGTAGAGGAATGTTTTGACATGAATTCCGCCCTTTAATATATTCGTGTACTTGCTGTTTGGATAGAAGCAATGTCTGTCCATTGCCGATTTATCGTCAATGTTTACCCTAATACCATGATTTTTAAAACAAAAAATATTAATACAGCGTATTCCATTTTTTTGCAAAAAATTCTTACTTTTTCACAACTACATCAAATCTCTCAATTCCTCATACATCAGAATCTCGAACTGCGTATTCGCTCTAGTGTTTGATGCTCTCTTGAAAATCCATCTTTGTGTGCTTCGAAGTCAATGGTGTCCTATGTTGATTTTCAGATTAAAATGATACTTTCGACTTCATCTGAACCACTTCACCACAATCGTTTTCGCAATCCAAATTCAAAACTTCAATTTAATTTTAATTTTAAGGTGCATGAATCTCGTTTCACCGAAGCAAGCAAGACCTTGATTTGAATTTTCAGGTGCAATGAATCCGTCTCATAGCACGTTCATCTTGTTTCTTGCTTGTATTTAAAAAAAAAAGATCTTCGTGATTTAAATATGGACTGGAATTCCATGGAATGACCAAGGAGGTTTAAATCGCATTATTTAGAGCTGCTTCGTCGCAGCTTTCATTTAATCAAAATTGTAATATTGAAACACGGGTGCCAATAACATGTCTTCTTTCTGTCCACATTTCATTCTGGATGGGTGAAGATATTTTTCGAGCATAAAAATGATAAATTCAAGATTTATAGACAAGATTGAAAAAAATTTCGAATGCCAACATGCTTCAGCGCTGATGGGTACGTTAAAAAAGAAACTTATTTTCAAACGACAGTTTAAATTAGGTGAAAATTTGAGTAATTTGTTTCCTCTTTGCATCTTGATTATTACACTATTGTAAAATAGTTGCAAATTGTTTGCACTCATCACGTCTATAATGCAATTGTGTGGGTCGAAATGCTGTCGACCGATGAGAGAAAGTCCATCATCAATTTAAAACTTACAGACCACCTCTTGTTGTTCTGATACTCACATCCACGTGGGAAATGTTAGACGTTTCATGTATCGATTTCCGCCTGAAATCTCTCAGCAGATGAGTGTTTGCTTCTTTTTTTTTTCTTAACCGACAGTGAAGAGTGCGGGGTTTCGTCGACCCCTTGGACGAAACACGTGATCCCACAGTCAGCCTTGTCCAAACAAGTGCCTTATCCCATCAACGCCGGAAGAAACATCGCTATCGAAGGCGCTACGACCATGTATATACTTCCCTCGGATGTGAAACTGGTTCCAGGGCCTCGTTTCCTGTCTCACAAGGTATCTCTTGATTACACCCTTGCCTGCATCATCTTCTTTGTACAGTGGAATCCCGTTATTCGAGGAGGAATCTCGTTTCAGCGAATTTTTCATTCTAACCATTTCTTTTCTTATTCTTGGCAGTTTTTTTCTGATGGACGATGTTTTGAAAGCTTTGTTGAAACCAACTTATTTTCCTCTATAATCTCAGCAAAAAAAAAATGTTGGATTATTTGTGCATTAGCCATACGATATTCAGTGATTAGTATCATATGGGGTTATAGATGCTTCTGCATGATTGAAAATCATTGAATGAACTACCAATGCTAATATTTTTGCTCGAAAAATTCTGTACTGCCGGAGGTACAGTATGAAGATAAAATCAGAATGTATTTAGATTCATTTCAGAATTTATAAATGGCTCAATCTTGAAACAAAATCATGTTCGGGACTCGGGAGTACTATATATTGCTATATCCCAGGGAACATGCAGTACTTATTAGCAAATAAATGCTCTTATTGTATTTATCTTCTTGAAATTTTTCTCCTGCCTCTGGGACTTCGTTGTACTGAGATTTTACTCTAAATCCATCGCAAAACGGTGTCGATTTGGAATGTAATGATCAATAGAGATGAGTTGTTCATGGTTCGCCAATGTCCTGATTCCTGAACCCCTAGAATTCCGTTTTTTTAAATCAAATTCCCGGGATCTGCTTTCAACCAAGCTGATTTTGAATATTTTCCTAAATTTAGCATCTTTAAGTCTATCCATACATGAAAATAAAACCAAGACATGGGAAACTGCGGAATTTTCTGTGCCCAATATGAAATGCCGGCAATACTTTCCTGCATCTTTCCGTTCGTAATAATTGCATCAGGTTCTCTTTTGAGCTACAGTATTACCTGAAAAGTTGGATACTTGATCCTTATTTTAATATTTGAAGAATTCACAATTTTAGAATCGAAATACAAAGTCCTTGAAAGCACAGGAGGTTATGTAATCTTTTTGGACTGACCATTTCCCAGAAAAAGATCCTCATCGAGATTTTCCGTCATAACAGGTACATTTCAGGACCTGATAAAATTTCCGGTATTCTCAAAGAATTGGTTCGTAAATCGAAGATTTTCAATTTTATTTACCAGGCGTAAGCATTCAAAAGTAAAAAAAAAAGCATTGTTACTCAAAATTGTTCTCATTCCCGTTAGTCCTGAATCTCCCGAAATTTTGAATATTTCCATGATGCAAAATTATGAAAGGATATGGGTTTTATTTCGGTCTTGAAACGGTATAGCCTTCTCTTATTCCTCTTTGAAAAATTTACTGCGTTTTGTTCACTACAAGAATTCGTTTATATTCCAACAAGTTTCTGCGAATGATTCGCGAAAGACGAGACCTGAAATTGGAGGAGCGTCCTGACGTGGCATTTGCGTTGCACTTGTTCGAGGTCGACGATAAAACAGGTGACTTCCCGATGCCCGACAAGCGGATTCTCATGGAAAACATTCGAACTCGAAGGGCATTCAGATTTCATATCAAGGTTAGATTTCCAACAGGATCCATAGATCGTAGTCCATTCCTTAGATTATCATTAAATTTATCATTAGTCTGTAGACAAAAACGATTGCTGATTTGATGATTTAACATATTTTGAAGGCTCGATGTTACTCTTCGAAAAAGCAAATAGTTTAGGTAAGTGCAGGTCATTCAATTCTTTAGTAACTTCTACTATAAAGTATCTGCTTTTGTGGTTCAACTATCATCATACAGATATCAGCGCGTGTTCCGGGGTAAAAACAGTATGAAGAACATTAATAGTGCTGTCTTTTAAGTGTTCAACGGTTTTAAAAACATGTTCTGCTTTCTAATAAAGTCCATGTAGGGATTGATGTAGTATTTTTGTCAACAACAAAATGAGAATCCCTCTTTTCTTGATAATATTTCAGAGTTGACTGTGAATTTGACGCACATTTTACTTTTGGCAATCATCTTGACAGAATATGGCGAGGGATCGGACCTTGTAAATTTCAACGCAATGTGCTGAGAAAAATAAGACAGAGAGGTTGATTTTGGGAAACTAGAACTTTTTAAAAGGAAATACGTCAAAACAATTGAGGGAAGTGAAAATTCTTTATTTCTTTGGGCTGCTTTAAACAGTGGGATTAATGTGTCAACAGGATGCTGAGCTTTGAAGCTAAGGCGCATTTACCCTGATTTTTCAAAGCATGTGTACTGTAGCTGCATTTTTGTAACTTTTGTATATCCTTGATTCTTTGAGAAAATTCATAAATGCACTCTACTGTAGACTTTCATTGGAGAAATACTTTCAGACGCATTCCAGGGAATACAGTATTGTTCCAATCATATTCAAGCTACGAAATATTAATAAAAAAATAAGACACAAAAAATCCTAGCGTTAAAAGGACACGGTTCAGGAAAACGCAATTCAAAAAATTGTCTAAACTCTAAAGTGATCTTCTCTCCGTGGAATTAAAACAAAGGCAAAACAATAAGACATTTTCAGGTTTTCATTTCAAGGATGTTACAGTTTGCGAAGTCCAAGTGCAAAATATTTTGGTGCCAAATTGGCTCCCCCTTCGTAAAAACTAAACTCATGTTTTTTTCTCTTTTCTTAAAAATTTAATAATCATAGAACACAGATATGAATCAGCATCCCATTTACAGGATGCTGATGAAATAATCCAAGTGAATTGCACAGATGAAAAATTCAAACCATGGTGAACTGTCGTGGTACATAATTACTGTAATACATTGCCTCCACTTTAGAAGTACATTAGCCTAGAAAAAAGGGAATACAGTATTGTTCCAATGATATTCAAGCAACGAAATATTAATACAAGATGAAGCACAAAAAATCCATGTGTTACAAGGATACGATTTAGCAAAATGCAATAAAACATTTTCAAGATCAGAGCTGGCGAAGAAAGCAAATTCAAGTGAACGTCTTCATTCCCATTTTTTCTTTCATTTTGCCATATCAGTGAACAGTTGAACACTAATGAAATTTACGCTCAATTGAATTCCGGAAAGAGTACCCAAATTTAATCTGCACAAGTTCAACTCAAAATGTTACTACTATATACTTCGTGTACCTTTAAAAGCTGCGTTATTCGGGTCGCGTTTAAACCCCAGAATTGGCAGGAGGAATAAGCGATGCGAATGCAATTTTGAGAGGCTGGAAGATTGAGCAGTTGACAGCAAGGAAAACCCGAACAGAACCTATTTTCCCGATCACCCAAAGACGGTAATTCGCTTTCACAAGACTCGGGAATTCAATTTCCGCTATATATACTGTATATATATATCGATGAAGCTCGGGCGATGTGTGGCTCAGTTATTCTCCATGTATTTTTCTTACCGACTCTAAATTCGATCACACTGAGATACGTAATACTTGCTGCGCATTATTCATTCCTCGTTGAATCAAATTCTCACTCTTGTTCCTTTTCTGATTTTCATTTTAAAAACAAAACAAAAACAAAAAACAAAGGGTTGTAAGGAGTGCTACACGATGCCGTTCGCCGACGAATGGGAACGCGGTCTAGGACCAGATGGATCTCCAGTCGAACCCAGGGATCCCACCTCGGACCTGCCTGTGAGGATTCATTCGAAAGCAACCCGTGAAGGTACATTCGCAGCCTGGGACCCGATCGTCATTGCGATGAAATCCGCTTTTCCTCGCTACGACGAGCGCCTGACTTGGCAGGGCAAGCGCGATCGTAAGCCGCAGGTGATTTCCGGCGAATTTCCTTTAATATCTTGGCAAAATTTTGCACATAATTTTATGCATATGGTGTACAGTATATTAAGATATACAGCGGGAATAGGACGCATATACGATTGCAGGCTATAAATTGATCCAGGATGGCCATTTTTTGGTCAGTCTTGCTGTTTCATCCGGGGAAAAAAACCTACGATACAACGATAAAGTCGTTATGAAGCGATTATAATAATTCAGTATTGTTGCAATTGGAATGGGACCTGAAAAACAATTTCCTTGTAAGTTCGTAACTCATATTTTCGACGAGATTCGGTGTGAGTGAAGGTAACTGCACAATTTAGACACTTACGAGTAGTGATGTATTCACACGGTATATGTGTGCAAATTCAGGACAAGAAACTCAGTTCAATACACAAGTAGAGCCTTCGCAATTCGCTAGTGCGATAGAACTTTTTACTAACTGTTTATCGGACTCGAGAATACTGTAGTATCTCGTGACAGAACGATCAGTAGGCTGTTGGCTGAAGAAAGCTTCGAGTTTTCACCCTTTTGAAATCTTTGAAATATTTATTGAAATTGAAATTAGCCGAAAGCTATTTTTAGGCTATATGTTATACTCAAGTAGGCTGCACTAATGGAAAACGACCGGTGCAACTTTTTAAAACTCAAGTACGACAGAATGAGATATTTAAATTTTTGCGCTCTGAAATGAAAAAAAATTGAGGAATAGCGAAAAAAATGACGGTTTGTCATCCACGAAAAAAATTATGATTCAGAAGGCTGCGTTTTTTTTGAAAGTATAACTCTAGCTTCCTAAACATTGCACATGCCTCATGAAAAACTCCTTTGCATTTTTACAAGTTTGAAAGCACGCTTATATAAAATCAAAATATGGTAGCTATTTCACGAGAAATGATTTCGAGCTAAAAGATATCGATTTTTCAAAGTACATGTTTTTTTCATGTTTTCTTCACAAAAACAAGGAAAAACTATGCAATGTTTCTTCTTTTTTTCATCTCCTTTCTTTTCCGAAAAATCTATTGCGTTTTCGGAGAAGCTCGTTTCCACTTTCGTAGATCCGTAAAAAATTGCCAATGAAATCAACTCTTCCGCATTACAACTATTGATATTGGGCGAGAAGTAGCAGGTGATTTCCGATGAATTTCGTTTCACACTACGCTGGCTATTTTATATTTTTTTTTCGTTGGATGGTCTTCCTCTTTTTCTTATTTTTTTTCCTCGCCTGGGTCTACATTCTCTGGAATTTATTGCCCCCATTCCTCGCAGCTCTGTCGTGCTGATTTCATTTCGTATAGCGGGCACCTCGTGGCATTGCATTCCTCAATATCCGAGTTTTGAGAGCATCAAAAGATTTCGCGGCGGTTTACAGACACACGCCGTAGTGCTTTCTCACCAGGGTGTCTCTTATAGATGGAAGAGCTGGCGAGAGGAGGAATGTATCAATAAAAACAAGAAAAGCACCGTAATAAAAATGTCATATACATACTACTGGGATCGTAATAATCTCACCCATATTCTTTTTCATATTTCCAGCAGTCGTCACCGGAGAGGAACTTTATACGAAAAAGAAAATAATGAAGGGCGTAAATTTAAGATATGCACGCATTTATCTATCCATAAATTACAATATAATGTACATAGAGAAAAGTAAAAGTACAAGCGAGATGGGAGAATTTTGGATAATCAAATACCCTATATATTCGCCTGCGAATATACTTTGCATTTGTATGAAGTTCACTATAATATTTCCAGCATCAGCCGGAACCAGGACGATGAAGTCTGTTACTTTTACGTATGCTTTAGTTTCCATCCACTTACATCTCAAAAATACTTGTAGCAGCAGAATTCATATTTTTTTCTGTAGGCCATCGGATTTAAAAAAAAAGCAAACTTCAGCTCTGAACGCCAATATGAGGACAGAAGGTGAAATTGGTGAAAAAACTTCCAGAAAATTGCAATAGAAAAGAAATGAAGAAGTTAAATTTTTACTTCGTACAAATTCCAGAATGTGCATCAGAATTTTAAAGGAAATCCTTCATACTGTATTTTGAAAAAAAAAAATTTTCTTTTCCACTCGAAAAATTTCTGCTGCCAGTCGTTTTCCGAAATAAATGAGCAGTAACTATATTAACTGATGTTTCCTATACTATGTCTTTGAGGATTTCCCACTGCGTTTCTTCATGTTACCTTGACTTTTCTTCAAGCTGAAACCATTTAACTGATCTCCAATAATAGATAACTTATTTAGGAAATTGTGTCTTGAACAGCAAATGTTTTGAAAGATAAAAAAAGTAATGGAACCAATTAGCTTCGTTGTTCAGTGCTCCATAGTGTTGCAGGGATCTTAAAACAGTTTCAATGAGTCCAGAATTGATTTTTTATCCCCAAATAGTAAGGTTTGAGTTAGTGAGATCCAACTGTATATACAGTATGTATCGTACATAGTATATAGGCAAGTTTATTTTAAACACACTCCCCACCGGTTCTCGCAGTACCGATGACGCAATTGATGGGAAAAAAATCTTGAAATTCCATCCGTCCACAGATGTTCGAAATGTGCGCGCAGAATTTCACTTTCGCCATTCTGGAAGAAGGCTTCCTGGTGCACCAGCCCGGCGTGAAGCCCCTGCGTCCTCAGCCCGAATGGCGGAAGGCCGTGATCTCCAGGCAGAGCGCCTTGATCGATGGCCAGATCAGGGCCGAGCTGGTGGCGAAATACCCGGACGCCGCAGACCGTTGTTCTCTTTGACCTTACATTATATACTGCGTGTATAGCTGACCTCATCGAGTGCATCATCCAGCAGTCGCCCGATTTCCCCGGGGGGGCATGCGTGCTGTGCGTATTTTGGCGATGAGGGGGACAGCAGTTGTATACAGAGCTAGGAAAGCACGGACCAACACCCCCGCCGATTCCAGGACGGGCGGCTCTTCACCAATAACTTTCCCATATTATTCTTTAACTGCTGCGGAAGAACGTCAGTCTGTTTTTTTTTGTGCTTCTGTGTTTTTTTCTTCTTCTTATAGTAAACAACCCCTGTCTCGTTCAAGGAATAATAAAATATTTTTGCACGGATGATGAGAATTATTATGCGGGAAATCAAGGCGAGTTTTCTGCGCGCCTGATTTCAGCGCGACGCCGGTGATCATCTTTATTTAATGAGGGAACTTGCTCGATTTCATTCGTGCGCTTTGCCAATCTGATCACTCGAGTTGATGAACAATGCATCATATTATTCATATGTAGGAGAGTCTGTATAATCGAGCCGAAAGATCACATGTGGCCGAGAGTAAAAAAAGGAAGAGAGATAGAAAAAAATTAGCTTCCTCAATGCACACGATTATACAGTATTTTGAAGAATCCCAGAGACGAAACCTTTGACATTTAAAAAAAAAAGGGTGAAAATCAATGGTCTTCATAATATTCGCTTGGTGGAAGAAGATCATCACAATCTCTCGAAAAATTAATTACATTAGAGATCATACGCGTAAATTTTCTGCTATTTTCCCCGTTAAGTGGTCCGTTTAGAGTTTCAGAACATCTTTCAGATAATATCTGAATGCTGAAATGTGTCACGACTCGTGAGTGATTAAGACGTAACAAAATACGAAGTAAACAAAACATGAACCAATTTTCTACTTAGAATAGCTTCATAGAAAATTGAGCTGTGGCAATGAAAAAACACCACATGATGGCTTGTTCAATTTCCTTTCAAATGGAGGATGATTTTGTGGTCCCAAGTGACATGGCATGGTCAAAAATCATTTGGGTGAAATATTTTTCACAAAAAAGCAGTAATAGAGAAACCTCCACATGCAGACAATTTGACTTAGGGACACATTGCTTCCAATGAAAAAAAGGCCTGACATGCATCAGCCACTGACTCAACCTGCAGACATTTAAATACAGTACTGTAATAGGAAAATTGACTTTTTCAGGCCAAATTACTAGAAAAAGATATTCAGAACCGTAAGATGGTAAGATGTATGTAGCAGAACTTGATTCGGAAATCTGTCATCATTTTTCCATCCATTTAGATGATTTAAAAAATTACTTCAAACATAGAGATTCTCAAGAGAGGAAGGATTTCCTTCTCTCTTTTTGACGAATTTAAGTTTTACAGGAAATGCCAATATATCAAAGCTGTACAGAAGTACAGCAATTTTACCATGGTATTTTTCTGCGTATGTTCCTCAAGAAAATGTTAAAAACATTATTCTCAACTTGTTGCTTGACAAAGTGCTAATTTTTTATAGGTTCATTTCAAGAAGGCCAGCTACAAAAAGTGGAAAAATGTCACCTAAGTAGAAAACAACACCTGCAACAATCAGGAATGTGCCAACAGTGGAACTAAAAAAAGAAATCCTAAAGATGCCATAGCTGAAGAAGAAAGGAATAGAAGAGGACAGTTATTGCTGAATGTATGGATCTTGACATTCAGCAGTAGCACATAAATTGTTCATTGTTTGAATTTGTATGTCCCCAATGCTCCATATGTTTTTCACAAGTTCAAAAACACTGATTGAATCATTTTCAATCTACAGAATTTTTGCATCTCATTGTTTAAAGGAATTTTGATGAATATTTCTCTCATAGAACACCACTTGAAAAGTATATGATGTAAGTCCACGGGAAAACAAGACTCAACTTGGGGACATTTTGACATAGGGACGCTCTTCATGAACCAATTACAGTCAACCCCCGTCTAATGGACTTGATTTGTGCAAGGGACAAGTCTGTTGGACAAAAAGTCCTTTACACGAATTCAATTACATAAAACATTAAGAATTTCAATTTTCAACACTAATTTTAAACCAAAAGAAGTCTGTTTGGCAGATTTTGTCTGTTGGGCAGGAGGAAAAACTGCTTGCAGAGCTGATCTGTTTGGCAAAAATCTGTTGCAGGAGAGGTCTGTTAGGCGGGGGGCCACTGTATGTCCACATCTTGAGGTCTCATTGCATCTTGAAACTACTTCCAATAATGAACCACTGTTCCCCAGAGCTTTTTGAAGGTATATATGGGGCACGGGACCAGTAATTTGACCAACAAACTTCACGCTGCCTTCAATATAGAGGGTGCGTACATTTAGAAAATTCAGGAGTTGGTGGGGAAGTGCAAAATAAATTTAGGTTAACGCGTGGAGTGGATTTTTCAATCACAGTTCGCGTAACAACATTATTATTGCTGCTATGGGTTGGGATTAGCAAACATTTAGAAATAAATTGACACGCACAGCTGCCTGTCCCAGTCAAATGTTAGTACAGTACGTTAAGAGTATGTGAATTTAAAACGTAATTTCAGAAACTGAACATAAAGGTAAACTTAAAAAACAAGCCATAGCAATATTTTCTATGCATCCAAACACCGTAGACCGTTTTTGTATGGGCGGTCTCGGTTGGAAAATTTAAAAAAGCTATTACTGTGGATAGCCTTGGACTGGCTTTATGACACGATTGGAATTGGAAGGGCATTCTTCCGGTTATCTGTGACGTACATCAATTTTATCTAAGGTACCTCAACGGAAGAAGAAAATTAGCTACCTGTTTCCAGCAAGGATTTTTCTTTAATTTGCAATGGTAACAAAGACATTTAAAAGGACAAGTGAACATTTATTATGCTTGATGTTGTGCAATTCAGGGCATCGACAATCCTCATATTTTTCATTGCCAAAACCAACTCGCCGGAGGGAGAAGAAGTTGAAAAAGTTCATGGGACTTGCCAAAATTGCCGATTAAAAACCTATTCATATTTTAAAGACTTTTCGGGCAATTCGTGCGGAATAATTTCCTATGTGTATATTTCACGGGATGCTCGAACCCTCGAATACTGTGTTTTCTGTTCTCACTTGCATAATTTTGGCGTAATGAAAAAAAGAAGTTGACGAAACGCAGGCTTTCTGCGTACCAACTTTTTGCAGTCTCACATTTAACCTTCGAATTCGCAAAGCCCCCTTTCATCAAAAGCAATTATTCGCTATAATTATATCCAGTAAATAATCCCGGTGTTTGAAAGAGTAGTATATGCATCGGTGCTGGGTCCGGATCAATCAAACTCGGAAACACATTTCGAAGTTGATAGTTCGGGTCATGGAACAAGTTAGTCCTTCTCCTATACCCATTGTGTCCACGCGTTGTGCAAAACTCAGGAAGAGCCCCCAGGGACGGAAAACGGGAAAGTGCTTCTCTCCGGAAGCAGAAATGTATTATTACGACTAACATCCGGTGCTCGCCTTTACCGGCGTTCGGGAAGTTCGGCCACGTGTTCTCTTCCGGCCGCAGCACTCAGGTCTACGAGAATGGATCCAGCAGTGGATGAAGCAATTGGGAAATCGATAAGTTGGGACTAGAAGAGCTGGAATGATGTGCTTCCTGAGGTATTGGTTTGTCTCTTAATACATGGATTGCTTCCTGCTGTGCAACCTGGGCCGCATGTGCAGGGATGAGATGCCCGTTCGGGTTGAGAAATCAGGTATTGTTCAATTATAAATTATGTTCTCCGATTAGCAATTATTCACAAGAAGAGAATTTTTTTCCTTGCAAACAAATTAGCAATTTATAAAATTTACATGGTGGGTTTTATTTTATTGTGCCAATTAGTAAAAATGTAAATGGTCCATGAATACATGTAACCAAATCCAAAAACGCGTTATATACAGTACTGAGATTTCAGAATGAAATTAGTTTGCAAAGTTGCGTGAAGAAAAGAACAGTCATACTTCTTCTCAAATCGGGTATGCGGAAAAATAAAAGGAGTTTTTAATTCATCAGCTCAGATTTTCATACTTCGTTTGACGTCAGGTCCGATAAGTTTTCCAATGCTGATTTTATGGAAGAACTGAAATTCGTTAAAAGGTGTGTATAAGCGTATATTATTCCACGCCGTCTCGCGTTAATTTAATGGTTATTTCGAAGACAATGGTCACTTATTTCTGAAACTGAAAACTCGGAAAAATAAACTTGCTAGAGGTCGTGAATGTATTACTGAAAGTGCCCAGAAAATCAAAGTAACACAGAACAGTTCTCCCACATGCTTGTGTTTTTGTGGTTTGCAACGTATAAAAAATACAATTGGAGACAAAAAAAGAGTGTTTGCTCTTTCTGTGCACATGGAGACGAGGAAGTCGAGTTAGAAGCCCCAAATGTGATTCCGTATTGAACCTGAATGCAAATGCAGAAATGAAATCGCATTTCATGGAACTGAATCACACAAAAGATATTTCTGAAAGTAAGGTCACATCTAAACTCTGTGACCTTTAGGAGATTTTGTAAGGATTACATTTTATCCTGGGGTGAGTTTAAAATAACGTGAGCTGTTCTTTTTCTACTGAGGAGGTATTGAATAAGAAAATGTTCTCATCAGTCTTGTAATGTTTTCTCTGCAAGTTACTTTAGTCAGGCGAAATGTTTCATGTTTACGCTTAGAAATATGCATACACTCGACGACCTTACAATTATGCAAGTTTATTTTTCCGTAATCCGCTCTGCGATGAGAGGGCTTTTCAACGAAAAATATGAAAAAACCTAAAATACTTTTTTGAAACTAAAAATGTCATCAGGACCAAATTTGAAGAAAAAAGTAGTTATAAATCTCCTCAATTTGTTGAAATTGACGAATATTTTCAGCGGTATAGCGTATGGAAAAGTCGGGTCAACTTCTCGATCACCTCAGATCCCATGATCAACTCGTATTCCTATAAAATATCTTTATAATCTTTATACTGTACAGTATATTAAAAATATTTTCTTCACTTTGTGACATTAACTCATCACAGCCTCGGTTTTTATGTCAAAATGCTGTAATTCTTTCGGAGCATTCTTTTGAAATACTTTTTCTCTTGAATCCATGCCATTGCACTACTGCTCCTGAACCCTCGAGAAATTGCTGATATCTAGTTCACGTTCATCAAAATATAAACTCGAATCGTGCGGCTTCATCTCTGAAATCTAGTAGAAGCGATGAGTCATAGTTTTGAAATTTCAGCAGTTGTCATGCTCTCCTTAATATTTCCTTCTTTTGCGAACATTCCAAATGAATTCAGCACAAAATTAGAAGTCCAGAAAAAACTGCGAGTTTCA